GCTGGCAGGCGGCTGTGCCAGGCTGCCTGAACCAGGAGCTTCTCCGGCGCCCCACTGCCCTAGGCCTGGCTTCTCGAAACGCCAGCGTGTTGCGGCACCTCCAGCGCTTGGTTCTACCATGGGCGTGTTCACTCCCTAGCCTTTTCTCCCTGGGGTTCCCGACTCCACTTCTTGTCCGAGACCTGAAATTCTGAGCAGCCCGTTGGCAGAAGGCTACGGATGACAATGAGAGCCCAAAGCCCCTATTTAGAGTAAGGTTCTGTTGAATTCCTTCCGTGTTAACCAGGGATGTCGATTGCAGAAGAATGGTCTTGCCCTCAAGTGGGCTGCCCCCTCAAGGGGATAACCGCCACCCTTCCCCAGCCAGGGCAGAGAAGGGGGGTCTCTCTTAGGGGCTGGCTTGTGTGTGTCCTTGATGGAGAGCCCCTTCCTGGACTCAGAACAGGGGGTCCCAGGGTCAGGACCCCTCATCAGTCGTGTCCTGACTAACTTGCATGGTAAGCCCTGAACCAGGGGTCCTCCAACTTTTTAAACAGGGTGGCCAGTTCACTGTCCCTCAGACCGTTGGAGGGCCGGACTGTAGTTTAAAAAAAAAAAACTATGAACAAATTCCTATGCACACTGGACCAGTCGGTTGCTAAGCAGGACAGGCAGCGGCAGGCCGGATAAAAGTCCTCGGCAGGCCAAATGTGGCATGCGGGCTATAGTTTGAGGACCCATGCGGCCTGAACCAATCTTGTAAGCTCTTCTGTCTAGCATAATATACGATGTCCCAATCATGGTCCTCTACCCATCACCTATAACTGATGTAGTGGCAGCACTAATCACGAATTCGTGAGTTTCCATTGTTCCTGGTCTTATTTAACTCTTGTCCTGACTGTAAATCTACCTGCCTGCTAATGGCCTCCCTTGTCTGGATGATGTGTCTGTGTCCGTCCCTTTAAGACTCCATAAATGTTCTCCTTAAACTATATTTGAGATTGGGGTCTCTTTTATAGCCGAAAGCAACTCTTTACACAAAAGTAGGCTCATCTCTCTTTCGTGCCCCCCCCCACCACAACCAGGACTTCAGAATAATAACTAGATGTTGGACAAATTGTTAATTGATGCCATCAGCTCTGAGCTGCCCTCCCAACCCCTAATCGCCCACCCATGTCTGCCTGCCTTCCTCATCACAGATGCTAATCATCACAGATGATCGAAGGGCAAAAGCCCTAGTGGTAGGGTCCAGAAACTGGGCTGGCCCTTCCTGTCCTGGACTGGCCCTAGGAAGTTCCATCCTCAAGCACCAGCTGCGCCCAGAGATGTTCAGAGCCGTGGGGCCTTGTTGAGACCAGCTTGACTCAGCAGATTCAACAACTGTTTATTGGAAGCATTAGTCATGCAGAGCGACCAAGTTCAGCTAGGCCCCCAAGAGCATGGGGATGGATTTCCGTTGCTGTTTGACCAGGGCCTGTGTCGTCCCTATGCAAGTCAACCTGCCTAAGGACGGCGACTTCTCTAGGCCACTGCCATGTCTCCACCCAGAGCAGTTGCCCAGACGGATAAGTCACTCTCGGAAGTGGAGAATGGCATCCTGCCTTGCAGATGCACCAAGGAGACTAGGTCAGTGCCCTTTTCCCTCTCTGGACAACCTCTCCCAAAGCCTGCTGGGAAGGGGAGGAACTGAAAGGGAGGGGCAGCCCAGACAAGGGCCTGTCCATCAGTCAGGGTGTCAGGGCCCGGCAGGGAAGAGCAGGTAGGTGAACTGCCTGCTGCCGCTGTGTCTGTCCACCAGGGGCAAAGGGTGCTGCGTGTAGTGCTGAACCATGGCGGTCACCGAGGTGAAGACCTGGGCAGGGTGGGAGGCCATCGGTGAGGCAGCTCACCTTCCTGCTGGGAGAGGCTTCCCCAGGGAACTATGTGCTCTGGTGACAGCACTCACTGACATTTTGCTCAGTGATTGCCTCCATTGTGGGGGACATGTCTAGGCCGTGAGTGACTTCCCTTGTCTGCCTCCAGGGACATGCTGTGACCCAAACTGCCAGATTTCCCGGGCCTGGTCAAACGGACTTTGGGCCTGAGCCTCTCTGCCTTGGCCCTCCCTGGAGTGGCAGGATCCTCCATGCGGGGAGCTGAGTGGTGGCTGACACCCTGATACGGGCTGTAGGCAAAGCTAGATCCTTGAGGTAGACAGGAGTCTGGCCTGCCCTGGCCCTGCCCTCGTCCCGGCTGGGCTCATTCTCAGCACAAACGCCCCGACCTCAGTGCGGCCCAGCCAGAAGCAGAAGCCTCTCCCAGAGCAGGGTAGGCCCCTCCCCAAAGTGCCAGGCTTTGAAAAGGCGTTCAGGGCTCTGAGCAAATACAAAACGGAGTTCTCCCCACAGGCAGACACCCTTAGCTGTGCCCAGGGGACTGCTCTGCACGGCCGTCCTTGTCCTCCTCCAGGACCCACCTCTTTGGGACTCTTGCCCTCCCGGCCCAGGGCATAGTGGCGCCCGCCATCCACCTGCCGGATGGGAACATTGAAGACGTGGCCGTGGAGAAGCACCACCAGGGTGAAGGGCTGGGGGCCCTGAGGCTCTGAGCTGGGGCGCACGATGAAGGCCCCGTCCTGTGAGGAGACCCTGCTTGTCAAGTTCATGACATCCTCCAAGTACCCACCCCCACCCGGCCAGGATGGTCAAACCCCGCTGCCTCCCATGCTGGCCCTCTCAGCCAGCCATCCTGCTGTGCGCAGAAAGGAGGAGATGGATGGGAGGAGGCCTGGGAACTCCCTGGGACCACCTTTTGCACCCGGAGGAGGGCTGTCTCCACAGCATGGCGGTTGCAGTTCACTGAGTACCACGGCTGGCCCAGCAGGTTGTCCTCCTGTGTGCACACACAGCCCCTCAGAACGGGGGCCAGGGCCTCTCTGGGCAGGAGGTGGGCACCTCAGAAGCCGGGGCTGCAGTCATTCGTGTGCATGGCTGCCCTCCCCCAGACCGAGGCCGCACAAGGCAGAATGAATCTGCACCCGAGTCTTGGGCCCCCACAGCGCTGCTCCGGTGCTCCACAGTATCTCATGGAGGACGCTTCAACCTGACACGGGTGCTGCTCCCCAGCCCCTCCCCCAGCCCTCCCAGACCTTCCTCACTTCAGGAGCTGAGCTGTGTCTTGTGGGAGTTGAAGAGGGAAGAGAGGGTTTCCTTCCTGCTGAGAGAAACAGACTGTAGAGCAGGCTGGGAGGGGATTAGGATGGAGAGGTAGGGGTGCGTACAGGCCTGAAGGCAAAAGCAGGGCACCCCATGCTCCACCCCTCTTTGCAGACAGGCAACCCTGCTAGCACCTACCAACTAGACCTTGTGTGACCTCCAAATGAGGGGTGCTCTTGGGGTACACACTGGGAGGTCTCTGCTTTGGGGCAGACCCTGGAGAACAGCCAGGGAGGCCCTGTCAGGTCTGAACCCAGAGCTGCCACTCCCTTGGCAAAGTGGGGTCTGGGGGACTAGGAGGGCGTCTGTGGCCACCAGAGCTGTGGCTGGGCCCCTGTCGGGGCTGCCTGGGCTCAGGATGGACGGGTCGCACTCACCTTTGAAGGCAGCATCCCCTGTTCCCTGGACACAGATATTGTGGTCAGAGGAGACCTGGCTCTGCAGGCCTACTGCCCTGGACCTTAAACCCACCCTCACCCTTCCTCTCCCACCTCCCACCCCCGACTCAGCACAGCCTCTTACATGCCGAGCTTCCCAGGGGGTTGTGGCGGACCTGTGAGGAGCAAATGAAGTGGGAAGCTCAGGGCCTTTGGCTCCTGAGGTGGAAGGGCCCAGGCACCTTGCATCCAGGCCGCCCCATTAGCCCTTCAGCCCACAGTGGACACTGCAGGGGGAGGCCAGGAGGTGGGCATGGCCATACCCTCCCTCTCTGTCTCTGCCTCCCTCTTGCTTCCTCTGTCTCTGCCTGTGTGTGCACACACTCACCTGGGCACCACTGATGTCCTTGGCAGAGGGACCGGGGGCACCAGGACTTGGGAGCTCAGAGTCCGAGTCAGGGCTGGGACTAAAAAGAGAGAGCCGACTGGACCCCAGGCAGGGACCTTGCCTCTGCAGCCTGGGCTTTCTGGGAGAGGCTGTCCCGCCAGCATCTGGGAAGGTCCACACAGTCCTTGCTCTATGGGGACGACCTCCCTGGTTGGCACTGTGTGGGCCAATCTGACCCAGGGCCGGAAGCCTAGAGTGGTGTTCTTGGAGGTGAAGACGTGTGTGTGTGTGTGTGTGTGTGTGTGTGTGTGTGTGTGTCAGTGAGAGAAACCAGGGAAAGACCCTCAGATGGGGCATAAGAGATCCTCAAGGAAAGGGTGGGCCGGGGCTTACCTGGATCAGGTTCACACTCCACGTAGATGTCCTCATCTGGTGTCTTTGGTAGACCTGGCACCTAGGATGGAAGGGGTGCATGGGGCTATGGATTTGATCTGCCTCTGGTAGTGTGGTGGGTTAGGTCGTGGGCTGCTAACCTTGAAGTTAGCAGTTTGAAACCACCAGCTGCTCCGAGGGTGAGAGATGAGGCTCTCTGCTCCCGTAAAGAGTTACAGTCTCAGAAAGCCAGAGGGGTAGTTCTTTCCTGTCCTGTGGGGTCACTGGGAGTCCGACTTGACTTGAGGGCAGTGAGTTTGGGTTTGGGGTTTGGGGTTGCTTTGGGCCTCAGGCAGCAAACAGAAGGGAGGGCAGAGCCAGTGCTTGGGTGGGGAGCTGTGGGCATCAGACTCTTGTAGTCAAGTTGGGCTTCTTTCTGGGAGCCAACTTGAATAATGAACATTTTTCTTTCCTATGGGATGGGGCGTCCCAGGAGTACCATCCTTTCAGAGGTGCCCACAACACACACACACACACACACACACACACACACACACACACCCCTCAAACTCACTCCACTGAGTCAATTTTTACTCATAGCACCTGCCCGTCGTTTCTGAGACTGTAACCCTACTGGAGTAGAAAGCTTCATCTTTCTCCCACTGAGCAGCTGGCGGTTTTGAACTGCTAGCCTTCTGGTTGGCAGTCCAACATGTAACCACTACGCTGTCAGGACTCCTCACAAACCCCCGTTCTCTGCAAACAGAGCATCCAAGTTCTCCGCAGGGCCCTGACATGGCAGACTGCTCAGAGAGACACCAGCTGCCCCTCTCCCCTACCCCCCGGGTCTGTGGCAGATGGGCAGGACTGGTCCTGGGGCCTTTTCCTTGGGGTCACCTCCCAGCCCCACCTCGCCCTGCCTACTTCCTGAGGAGAACCCTGCATGTCAGGCGGGGAAGGGGTGCTCACCATGTTGGCAGGTGTGCTCAGCTCTGGAAGGAAAAGGAGAGACCCATCAGTCACAGACAATCAGAGAGGCAGGAATAAGTGGAATGTAGGCCTAATGTAGGGGTAGTGGTTACACAGTCATTGGGCTGTGATCCACATGGTCATGGTCGGCAGTTCGAAACCACCAGCAGCTCTTTGCAAGAAAGACTGCTTTCTACTCCGGTAACCAGTTACCGTCTCGGACACCCACAGGGGCTCACTGTGAGTCAGCATGGACCGGATGCTCAGAGTCTGGAGGCCCTTCTCAGGTGGAAAGGCTCTGGCCGAGGTGGGCACATGGTGTAGACGAAATCAGAAAGTGTGTCTCTGTGGCAGGGGACTTCCAGGCAGAGTAGTCTGGCTTCAGACCTCTCCATCCTGGGTATGTCCCTCACCCTGGCATCCTGTGTCCACACCAGGTACAGAGCAGGCCTGGGTGGGGGGCTGGGACTGATCACGTGTAGGCACAAAAACCCAGCATGTCCTCTCTCTGGGCCTCAGTCCCACCTGTAGTCTCACCGGTTTGACAGCAGCCAGTGCCCCTGTACTCCGGAGCCCAGGGGGGTTGGCAGGTAAACCGGAGTGCAAAGCAGGAGATGCTGTAGGGTAAACTAGTTCTCCCTTGTAGGGTCAGGGGTTCCCTTCCCAAGGAGTGGCCATCCGGGTACCTGGTCTCCTGAAGGGCAGGCCCTGCTTCGTCATCCCCTCGGGAGTTGCCTTCAGCTGTGGGCACAGTGAGGGGGGAGGGAGGGGGCGGGGCACGGGAAGGGGAGGATAGGATGGTGCTGTGAGTCGGCGGCAGTGGAAACCCACTCGTGGCAGCCCTCCTACGTGCAGAGCAGAGCTGCTTCACAGGGGCTTGGCTCAAAGATTCCCTTCCAGAGGTCGGTTGCCAGGCCTGCCAGGCCTGCCTTCGGACGTGCCCCGCCCTTGCTTAACTGCCTGCACCCCCTAAGGGCTCCTGTGCAGATTTTTCAAACCCACCACCACACTCCGGGAGACGGGCAAAGATTCCTCCGCTCGCTCTTAGTGGCGACTCTGTTTGTGGACGCTTCCAGAGCCCCCCAGTTGGATGGTGGCAGGAATGGGGCCTGGTGGCTGATGGCGAGATTTCTTCACTTCCCTGGCAGGGAGGGGCGTCAACGCCGCGACCCCTC